TATATAAATGGTTGTATTGTTGTCAAAGGTACTCCTGCTTTTATCATCGTTTCCACAAAATTTGAGAAAATAGGAAAATAAGAGAAAAACGAACGTATGAGAAAACCTATAACAAAGAGATGAGAACGAAGAGGAACATCTGATACAAAGATGGGAAAATATGTAAAATAATAACAAATTTGAAGTAATGGAGGTTGCCGATGGTGAAAAGAGGAAAAGAGAACAAAGAAGTTCAGGTCTCTTTTTTTTGGCAAATGAAGTCCGTCTAATTTACGAAGTTGATATACTCAACTGTGTTCAAAGTTCAAGTTAGTGAAAATTTTAAGTTATTGTATCGTATATATTATGCATACTAAAATCTTTCAGTTCTAAAAATTATAAATCACCTTGATATTTGAGTAAGATTTATATTGGACTTAAATTATTCTGAAATTCTCACTAAAATTTTAAAATTAACAGATTTATTTAGCCAAAATAATAATAAAAAAACATAGATACAATCTGTTAAAAGAATCTAGAATTAAGTATGTGAGATAATCGTGGAAGCACAATTTAGAGAATCTGTTGAAACAAATTATGCATTTCAGCGTTTGTTCTCTGTAAATTTATAAGGTTGTCGTATTCTAGCGTAGAATTGAGTGTTTAAGAACATTTTTTCTTTTTTTTTTTTACAATTCTGGTGGTATAAAGAAGATGGCTTGCATAAAAAAAGTGATGCCTTTCATTTTAGTAATATTTCTCCAAGTAGAGCTTGCGAGAATGGATAAGTCGTACTCAATGAAGGCATGAGTACATACAGTGGCGGAGTAATTTTTAATGGGGGCAAAAACAATTATGCTAAAACATTATCAAATGATGGGGGCAAATATATTATGTAGTGTGGGGGCAGTAATCATTTTTCCTAACAACTTACACTAATTATTTTTTTTATTGGGGGCACCTGTCCCATCTTATTACACTTGCCTCCATCACTCAGTACATAAATATTTTCTGTCTACCGTCACGGTGTTGCTACCATAGCTGTGAGACCTTTCGCGTTATACTTCGACAAGTACTCCTATATTCCTTTTTTTTTATCAATTTCTTTTAGAAAACATAATTGAATGTTTGGTGAGTGTCATACACCAAATGTGAATTCTTTACATTTTTTATATAATTTTGTCAGTACAAAAAAAGAAACGAATTCCGTCAAAAAGTGGATATGCGTTGGTAGTTAATCCAGTAATTTTGACACAGATAGATGACTTAGAATGTTTTTTTTTTTTCTACTCTTGGGTTTTCACAATTGGAGGACAGAGGTTCAGAACCGCTTAAAATGTACAATATTGGCACAAATGTTTTTTGTGGAAGAGTCATTCAATTATGCTTCAGAGAAACTTTAAGATAGAATTACTTACTACAATTGGAGGAAAAGAGATGCAAAACAAAAGAAAGATGAAACTATTGGATTCAAATAATAAACAATGAATATGATTATTATATTGTATTCGCTACACCAAGATTGCTTCCATGGGTGGATGTAGTTGTATAGGATCGGAGTCAAGTGTCCCCTACTCTTTTTATTTTTTTCTTTAATATTTAGGTAAATTTAATCAAAACAAGTTTAATTTAGTGATAAAAAAAATTGGTGCCCCCAACTAATTTTTGTTTTTCCTGTTTATAAACTTATGCCCTTAACTAAATTTTTTTTAGATCCGTCACTGATTGCTTCTATACTTATACTACATAGAATGTATGTCGAAATGAAGTCACCATTCTCCTAAAAGTGAATTGAAATTACCTGGTAGAGATAATCTTTACTTTTACCATCCGACTAATCCCACAATAGGACTATAGTCGTTGAGTAGCCCATTCACTAAATTTTTGAATGGATCTAAATATTCTGAGTACCACTTGATAAAAAATACTGTACTAGGTTACTGTTTAAAAGAATAAAAAGCCACACGACCATATATAACTAAAAATGGTTTGTATGGTTACTATTCGAAGGTTTATTCTTAAAGATATCAAAGTTGTGTACACGTCTACAAATCTTTGATCCCTAGTGGCTAATAGATAGCTTTCACGTATTTGTGAATGAAGTGGATTTCTATTGTTCCTTCATCCTTGTGATTTGACTATGAGCCAGAGCTTTTATCAGTAGAGCTGTCAAAGCCGATTGGTTAGTTCCATTAAACCCGTCCCACAATATGCTAAAAAGCTGATTAACCATGGGTTAGTCTCCTAAAATAAAATTGGAAAATTTTTATTTATAAATTGGTCCTTTTAAGTTTCAAATCTTTTTATTTATTGCTAACACAAATGATATAAATTCAAATTTCACAATAAAACTTAACAAAATTAATTTTACATATATTATACCTCAAAGAAAATGTCAAAGTTTGATGGAACATTATACTCTTATTCATTTTGACATTATACACAAGTGACGAGATAAAAATATAATAATAGTAATTTTAAACCAAAATCTACTATGCTTTCTCATTTTTATTTGATGTAATAAATTTTACTTATCGAAATTTTTTTTTTAATTTAAATAATATCAAAATGTCTGAGATTTTTGCAAAGAATAAAATAAGTAAGATTAAATTTAAATTTTTTACAAATAAAAAGTATTAATAATAAAATAAAAATAAATATACTTAGAATATTCTCTTTGTAGAGTGAAAATAGAGGAATACATTGAAGAGAAACTCATCTCTATTATAGAGTTTCTCTATTTTAGAGTCAAAAATAAAAAATACATTGGAGGTGGTTTTAAAAACAGTAAATCAAACTAATAAAATCATTATATAGTGATTTAATTAAACTAATTTTATGATTAAGTGGTTCTTCTTAAAGTATAATTTTTTTACAGTTTATTAAACAACAAGATCTAATGTTATCATGGTATCGATCAGAGCTTGAACCAAAAAAAAAAAAATCTCTGAAATTCTTAATAGTAATGATTTCTATGAAAATGATTCAAGTTCAGTATACATAACTTGCATGCTCTAACATGAAGAAAGGCATTGGAGATATTGACAATTATGGAGTAATTAAAGCGCTAGCCGCTAGATCATATTCAGTCACGTTAATTGTGGTGTATTTTTTTAATTAAATATAATTATGATTAAATGTTTTACCTATATTATAAAAGGAGGTACGATTGACTAATAGAAAACAAAAAAAAATCTTTTCTAGTTATGTCATCGACATTTCTAAAAATTATTTGTTTATAACAATCACTTAATCACATAAATATTTTCATACCATCAAAATTTTCAGCATATTTTATTTCTATCAGACTCATAATTTTCTCATTTTATTCTTATTTCTAAAATCAATTAATTCAGTAATTTCTCTTTTTGATTTCATCATATATTTATGCGATGAGATTATCAATAATACAACATATTATTTCCATTTTAAAACTTAAATCGTATTTGCTATTTTTTAATTCAATCTGTTACATTTTTCTGTTCTACCTCGTTTAAATAGAAAAAGTGACTTCAAAAATAGTTATGTGAACACAGACTAAGCTAGTTTGAACGTTTTGGAAGAATACCGTTATCATGATCAGAAGAACTTTATTGAAATATTATAATTTTCAAATTTATTTTGGTTTCCTAAAAATAAAAATGAATGGTTGAAGAAAATAGGTTGCACCCATTACAAGCAAAAGAGGTTGGGTCCTCAACCACACGCTTGTTGCAAACTGTCCCCACGCGAATAAAAATCACAACAAATGGAAGACATATGATAAAATGTTTGATTACTTTTAGCAAGGTTATATATTGAAAATATTAATATTATTTTATATATCATATGGCTTGAATGTCACGGTCTGAAACAATACAATGGGATATTCGTTTGTTAGAAGGTCCTGTTTAACGGACTGATTTGTGTCTCGAGAAAAAATGATTTATGTAGATTCACTGTAAATACTTCGGACGCCATCATGCCAAATAGCACGATGATAAATAAAAAGAGAACATGGATTTCATTAATAGCACTTAGAACATAATAAATTTATAATTATCGGTTACATTATATTATCAATAGTTGGTTTCCATGATCTCTCTAAACTATAAATTGGAGATTCAATTACTAAAAATAAAAGTGAAAGTCTGGACCAAAATGTTCAATGATTAAAAAATTCCGAATGCGTATCTCTATCAATGGCTAAATTTGAGAGTTTCTTTGTATTCACAAAAATTTAGCCTTTTGTGTAATAAAGTATTACCTACTATTTTGAATAAACTCTTAGCCAAAAGGCACTATTATATGATAACATATGGTGTTTATAATCACACATAAAAGAAATAAAGAAATGATAACAGATTCATGGAGCAAGCATATGTGCTCATCGCTTCGCACGCGCAACCTTTACCAACATGACAACATTAATATGAGCTGTAACCATTAATTTTTTCTCTTTGGTTAACTGAATACAACATCAATTTATTTTTACATTTTCTGAACTGAAATCTGATACTAAATGTTGAATTTTCAAACACATGTCCAGCTTTGCTTGTATGATATTGTCCACTTAATTTAAGAGGAAAAATCTGCACGAATTTCTTTTAGTGTTTCTTCCCGAAAATTTTCATTCTAATTGGAATCTATATATGATGTGAAATTCATATTAATATCCCATCATCATAAGGAAAAAAAATCATTTCAGGATTTGAAGCCTCAAAGTTCTTTTTATTCAACTAAGACAAACAATAACTTGGAGTATTCAAAAACGATTGAGTAACGATTTAGATATTATATTTATTCTTATTGAATCTAATCATAAAAATAAATATATATTTAAGCATGCATGTATACACACTCATTTGAGTTATATAGAAAACAATTCGCACAAAAAGGCAGAACTTCATCTTGTATTTATAAAGTGCTTTATAACTTCTTCTTTTCTTTGGTGTAAAGCTTTATAACTTTTTGGTATCTATATAAAGGTTTTATTGTATAAGCTTGAGAAACCCAACTTAGTGAATAAAACACTCTTGAACATGCCTCTTCTATTTGCAATTCTCGTTCTAATGACAACCTCAACATCGTCATCTTATTCCATCTCTCTTGCACCCTCCAAGATCCCTCAACTTGGGATGTCTTCAACAAAGCTAAAGAATACACACGATGCACTGACGCAAAAGGTTGATAAATCTGATCTTGAAATCTTCTACTTTAATCAAGATCTTGATCATTTCACATTCACACCGAAAAGCTACATGACCTTTCAACAAAGATACGTGATTGATTCCCAGCACTGGGCTGGTGCTAAAGTGAACGCACCAATCTTAGCGTTTCTTGGAGAGGAATCTTCGTTAGATTCCGATCTGTCTGCCATCGGTTTTCTTCGTGACAACGGTCCTCGCTTAAAAGCACTTCTCGTGTACATAGAGGTGTGTGTGTATATATAAGTTTGCGGTTAGAATTATCATTTTCATTGTTTGTTTGTAAATGCATATTGCGATATATAATGCAGCATAGGTATTATGGGAAATCGATGCCATTTGGATCGGCAGAAGAAGCATTGAAGAACGCGAGTACCTTGGGATATTTGAACTCGGCACAAGCCCTAGCAGACTATGCGGCAATTCTCTTGCACATTAAGGAAAAGTACTCAACCAAACATAGCCCTATCATTGTCATAGGAGGATCATATGGTGGAAGTAAGTCCATGTTCACTATTAAATATATTATAGGCCTGTGAATACTAACCAAACCAAGGTTTTCGGTTTTTGGTTTTCAATTCATGTTGACTATGGGTTGTGCCGATCTGTAACATTTGAAATCCATTCGGTACTGAACCGATCATTTTTTTTTTATTTTCTAATCTTCGCTAGTCTATATATACCAGATCATACTAAACTATATAGAATTTTGCAAAAATCTATATAAAATATCAAACTATCCGATGTTAACCAAACTTACCTGATTTTAACCGAATTTGAATAAAAATACCAAAAACTTTGGCTATCTATACTATTAAAATAGAAACATTTTTATGTTCAAACAGAATTTCATTAAATTTAAGTTTATTCTGTTCGTGGATAACTGTTATTCCTGTTTTATTATTCTTTGGGCAAACATTTATTTAAATTTAATTTATCTATTTGATATATTTACAAAATTAAAAATAATATATTTGAACTTATATTTAAAAATAAATCTATAAATTCTAATTTTAATTTTAGTTAGTTTAGATTTTCTTTTAGATTAATTATCAAAATTACAAAAATCAGTTGTTATTATCTTTATATAGTAAATAAGATATTAATTTATGTTATATTTAAATGTTTAAATTTAAATAATATTCTCATGACAGATATGATAAACAATTTGTTGTTATATACTTTTTTTAATCAATCAGATTATGATTTAAATATTTTAAATTAAATATTTATATTATACGATAATGTGAACAGACAGACTAGAATTATGTTTTTTTAATCATGATTATTTTCAGATTAATAGAACATATAAGTTAAAATTATGTTTTTATAATCATAATTAATTTTATTAGAAAAATAAATATAAAAAATAAATGCTATCTAAACACAAAAATAATCTGTGTCACTTATTAAAAAATATTGTATCTATAAAAAGTATAAATTATATTATAAAATTAGATTAAAAAAATAATTTTTTATGCAAACTCACGAAGTAGAATCTAGTTGTTAGTTTTAAAGTTTAAAACCGAATTATACTTCATATATTTTCTAGAGAATTATAGAAACCGAAAAACCAAAAAACTGATCCAACAAATTCAAAAACGAATTACAATTTGTATATAGAATTATCGAAACTGGAAAATAGAAACTGACACAACCGAACCGTATAATCTTCACTCGCTGTCTTGAAATATATATCATACTAGATTAAATCCGCATTATACACATGAGTAATTTAAAAAAAAATTAAAAAATTTAAGAATTTGTTTCTACTTTATCTAAATTTTATAATATACTTAACTAATGAATTTATTTACTTAAATTATTTTGTAGTAGGCTAAAATATAAACATAAACTTAACCTGTTTTAACATTTGTTTTGATTTTATATTGAAATAAAATAATATATATTATAGTAAAAATGTTGAAAGATTTCAAATACTTTTTTTAATATATGTGGATTTATTATTTATTTAAAAATAGATAATGTTTTTGATATCATTATATTTAGAAATTAAATAGTAAATATCATATGTAATGAAAAATGAAGAATTTTCATATTTTTAATAGTTTTTAATAGTTTTGAAAGACAATTATAATATTTTCTATTTCAATTATTATTTTTTATTTTTAATGGCATAGTATGTAATTACAAAATAAAGTTCATTTTCTTAAATGTCTCTTTAAATAATACTTTAGAGAGATGCAAATCATAGCAATAGCTTATGAGATATAGTTACCCTTGAACATTGTACTACGATTAGTTATGGAAATTATGTTTGGAGTGGAGTATATATTCTACCTCATGATCTCGCTTACTCTTGATGATATTAAATTGCATTGCATTAATAAAAAGCAATTGGAATAATCATTTCTTTTATATTTATGGTACACAGTGTTAGCGGCATGGTTCAGGCTAAAATATCCGCACATAGCACTTGGGGCATTAGCATCTTCAGCTCCTCTTCTCTACTTCGAAGATACTCGTCCTAAATTTGGTTATTATTATATTGTAACCAAGGTTATCAAGGTAAAGCCCTAATACTTCTTGAACTATTACTATTAGACCATATCAATACATCAGAGTTTTTGTTTTCTATCACAAATTTTCCATTTCAACTATTCCGTTCTTCACTAATTTCTGTTGTTACAAGGCTGACAAGTCTTAACTAATAATATACCTTTTTATATTTCCTTACATATATTCCACAAGGAAACGAGTGAGAAATGTTATAACACAATTTGTAAATCTTGGAAAGAAATCGATAGAGTTGCTGCCAAACCCAATGGCCTCTTAATCCTCAGCCAAAAATTCAAAACATGCGGGTAAGAATGATTTATCTTAGTTGTGTTCATATTTTTTTTTTTGTCAAAATTAAATAATTTATGCTTTATACTTAATTTCTTCCTTACAAATATTTATTCAGTCCATTGAACGGAAGCTCTGATATCAAAGACTTCTTGGGTACGATATACGCAGAAGCTGTTCAATACAATCGGGGTCCAAGTTATTGGGTGACCAGCGTGTGCCATGCAATCGATGCCAACCCACCAACCCATAAAAATGATTTACTCAATCGGGTTTTCGCAGGCGCTGTCGCTTTAATAGGCAACCGAACATGCTATGATACCAATATGTTTTCGCAGCCCACAAACAACAGCATTGCATGGAGATGGCAGGCATGTAAAACGTATTACAAATTTCTTAGAACATATACTTGCAAATTGAATTATTTTATTTGATTTTAATTCGTCTAATTGATATATGGATCAAACTACATCAACCGATCTTAAATAGAGCTGCAGCGAGATAGTGATGCCGATAGGTTATGACAAGCAAGACACGATGTTTCAACTGGCGCCGTTTAACATGACCAGTTTCATTGAGGGGTGTAAATCTTATTACGGTGTCCCTCCTCGACCACATTGGATCATGACGTACTTTGGCACTCAGGTATATACATATATTACTTGTCATGATGTCCGGTTTGTGGCACAAGCCACCTAAACCATCTTTTATATAAAAATGTTTTAAAATTGAAATTTCTGGACCATCATATAGTTACATTCATCTTAGTGTTTGGATAAGAAAAAAAGAAAGATCGTAAATTTTAAAATCGTATGGAATGTCCGTTATCTGGACTGATTATGTTAAAAGTTGCTAATATTAATTAGCTAGAACTTAATGGTAACTGTTATATAATGTGCAGGATATCAAGTTAATTCTTAAAAGATTTGGGAGCAATATTATATTCTCTAATGGATTGTCAGATCCTTACAGCGTCGGCGGGTAATTAAAACATAAAATTTGTTCATAACCGTTTGAATAGGATCGATAGTGATATATAATGTAGAATACAAGGTTTAAAATGATATTTTTCATATATTTCCAGAGTTTTAGAGGATATTTCAGATAGCATAGTCGCCATCAAGACAAAAAATGGTAAAAATTTTCAGTTTTAATTAAGCATTTATTCAAGAAGTCCTTTAAGAATATGATGAACTCATACATAATTTCGATAAAAAATTCAACATATGAGCAGGTTCACATTGTCAAGACATTAGCCTGAAGAGGAAAGGAGATCCGGAGTGGTTGGTGATGCAACGAGAGAAAGAATTTAAAATAATTGAATCTTGGATTTCAATGTACCAAAAAGATCTAAGAGATTTAAATATATTAATCTAAGTTTTGTTATAATATATGCAAAACATATATAAATCAATAATTTGTACTTGTATTGGTTGAGTGGTCTATGAACATCGATATAAAAGCCAGTATATTTAGTGCATCTCATTATTGTCCAAATTTGTAAATAGTATTTGTCTTGGCTTGTCTTTAATTAATAACAGAAAAATCGATGGCTTTCGTGTAACAAACAGAAAGATTATTGCATGGAGTACGCTGAGCGGATCAAATGTGGATTTAAACACAAAATGCAGCAATGAATGTTTACAAGAACAAAAATAAAGAATCATTAGTGTTTGAGCAAAGTGCTACGTGTTAGTGGAAAAAGTTGTCTTTTGCTCCTTACCATGCTCTTGCTTTTATATTCAGAATCTATGTTTAATGTTTTCATTTACTCTGCTTAATTCGCTATGAAAAAACAATAATTCAATGGATTCAGCTGTTACATTCAAGTGTCTCAAATTCACCAGTTTGAACAAGGTTTCGATCGTTCCGGGATTGCGTGACAGATTGGCATTCATTCTCTTTTAACCGTAAACTTACTTAAGTGAGTTTTAGTTTGGTTATTCATCAACATTCACATATCCGTTCTTGTTACCATTTGTTTATTGGGTTTAGTTTACTGCCCCGAAATCTTGACCCATTTGTTAAATATATATATATATATATATATATATATAACATATGGAGTTTATAATTATACATAAAAGAAATAAAGAAACGATAGTAGATTCATGAAGCAAGGATGTATATCTGTGGTGCCAATAGCAAAATTTGCAATGAACATGCGTGATCATCGCTTCGCACGCTCAACCTTTACCAACATGACAACATTAATATGGTGTAATTTTTACCCCAAAAAACATTAATATGATGTAACCTTTATGGAGTGCATCACCACAGTGTCATACTCATTTCTAATCAATGGCGGCCCATAAGGGCGAGTGATCCCGTCTAGAGACCTTCGTCAGGGGGATCCATTATCATCATATCTTTTTATTTTCTGCACCGAAGTGTTTTCAAGATTATGTCGGAAGGCTCAAAATGACGGATTTTTGATTGGGATTCGCATGTCTAAAAACAGCCCGCAAGTCAACCACCTTCTGTTCGAGGATGACACTATGTTTTCTGCAGATCTGACCCTACCAGCTGCTCGATCCTTGCCTCGATCCTCCGACGATATAAGGTTACCTCGGGTCAATGCATCAACCTCTCCAAATCCTCGATTACGTTCTCAGCAAAGAATCCTCGGTACCTGCAAGATACAGCCAAACAGATTTTATGTATCCAAAACGAGGGTGGTGCAGGGAAGTATTTAGGACTCCCAGAAAACTTTGGGAAAAAAAAGAGAGATATTTTCGTAAGTCAGGTGGACAGAATCAGACAACGCTCTCACAGCTGGGCCTCCCACTTTCTCTCTGCTGCTGGGAAGCAAGTTTTGCTCAAGTCGGTTCTCTCGACTATGCTTTCATACTCCATGCCCTGCTTTAAACTCATTAAATCCCTCTGCAAGCAGATTCTGTCAGTCCTCACGCGATTCTGGTGGGATGATAAACTGGACAAACGGAAAATGTGGTAGGTTCCGAGATCAGAGCCACCTTGGCATCGTGCATATCCTCGACTTCCTGTCTCGGACTGCTTCCCTGGTGAGCTTTCCTCCTACCGGTCTTTATTTGGATTTTCTCCCGTCCTGGATTTGCTGGAATCTATGGACAGCTCGCAACCACAGACTCTTCTCCGATTCTGTGTTCTCTGAACAGGAAGTCATGCTGAAGTCTCTAGTGGATGCTAGAATTTGGCAAGAAGCGCAGAAGCAAAAGGGTACTACGCCTCAATCTTCGCCTGCCTCGATCCCAGTAATTGCTCCAGCTAGAGTCAGCTGCAACATTGATGCAGCTTGGCAAGCTGAGTCGCAGTCCTGTGGAATGGGGATGATATTCCATTTTCAAGAGGAAGGAAGAACTATCAGCTTCTCAAGCTCTCGACGCGATGTGGCCTCGCCCCTCGCAGCTGAAGCTTGGACAACTTGAGAAGCCCTCATCATTGCTCGCGACAGAGACTGTGAAGAGATTCAAATGCACTCGGACTGTTTGTCCCTTGTGAATACTCTTCAGTCTCAGGAAACTCATACTGAGATCCACGCAATTGTAGCAGATATCCGTCTTTTGACGCTATCTTTCTTTTATGTTTCTTTCATATTTATCCCCTGGAATCTTAATGCCGAGGCGGATTCTGTTGCCAAAGAAGCTCTTCGAGCTCTCTTGAACACTGTTGATTGATTTAATAAAGTTTAAAGTTTGACAAAAAAAAGAAGATGTAACCTTTATTTTCTTTTAGGTTAATTGAATAAATACTCTTTATATATAGTTTATTTCTTTCCCCAAATATTTACTCTACTTATGACACCATTTTAAATATATACTGTTATAAAATGAAATGCAGAATGAGAATGAAGTATGTGGCAGTAACACATGAAAACGAGAAAATTCCGAGTTTGTACATGTTATAAGTTATAACTGAATAGGAAAACTTATGACAAGATATAAATTATATTATCAGAGACTTCCAGTTAGTTAATATATATCTATGCTATTAAAAGGGAATTTTTTTTTGTTTCTACATCCAAACACTCCATATGTTTCTTTTTTTTTATATAATTCTGTTCAAAAGCTAATTTAATATTAAATTTAACAAGAAATACTTCATATTAGAATATTGATGCAACCATGATAATGATCTATCAACAAATAATCCAATTCAAATCAAGTTCAGAATCACAAGAAGTTTCTAGAAGAAAATCAGATCATGGATATATTACGAAGTTGTCTAGATACAAAGAATTAATCTGCATTAAATCTGATGGCTAAATTGGTGGAGGAAGACCATAAGTTTAATTTAGCTAATTTTTCTCCTCTTTTTATTGTGCATAATTTTCTCTTATAATTAATTTCTTTGACCTTGAAGGTCTTGTAAATGAGCCTATAGAAGCTCATCATTTGTCATTGTAAAAATATATACAGATTTTTGGAAAAATAGAAAGAAAGAGTTTTCTCTCTAAAGCTTAGGTTTTGTTTTTGTTTATCTAAGTTAGGTGGGATTCCTTTACTTAGTAAACATTAAATCTATGTCTTTTGTGTGAGATTCCTTGAGACTAGGTTTGTGAACTCATCACAAGGACTTTCACACCCTTGAGTGGCGTTCTTTGATCCATCATCATCGTTCTATCAATCCGCTGCTTGAAAATCTGTTTATCCGAAGTCATATAAGTCATTGACAGCTCTGTGCTTGTATCATTTTGGTATCGGAGCTAAAAGCTCATATCCATCAGATTGTATTCATCCAATCTGATTTATCTATCTATCAGAGGTTTGAAGATTTATTCATCTAAATCATATAAACCTTGTCTCAGCCTTGTGTTTATATAATTTTTGGTGTTTTTCCAACCTTTATTATTTTCTTTTTCTTTTGTTCTATTTTTTTTTTTTAAATCGACAAAATTGTTTTGATTTATTTTCCTAATACTTTTTTCATTTGAAAATTCGAAAAAAAGAAATTTTCAGTTTATTTATTTATTTGGTTTTAAAAAACTAAAATTCCAAAAAAATTATTTTCACTTTGTTTCGTTTTTTTTAAATTCAAAAAAAAAAACAAAAATAATTTTTTCCAACTATTTTAAAATTATTTTATCCTAAAAAAAAGTTTTGTTATAATTATTTCACTCTGTTTTCTTAATTTAAAAAAAATGTCAAAACCAAGTCCACAACATTACCAAGTTGAAACGGTTTTGAGGACAAAACCTTTCGAAGAAGGAGAAAATGATGCAACCATGATAATGGTCTATCAATAAATGATCCAATTCAAATCAAGCTCAGAATCTCAAGAAGTTTCTAGAAGAAAATCAGATCAAGGATATATCACGAAGTTTCTAGATACAAAGAATTAATCTCCATTAAATCTGCTGGCTAAATTGGTGGAAGAAGACCATAAGTTTAATTTAGCTAATTTTTCTCCTCTTTTTATTGTGCATAATTTTCTCTTGTAATTAATTACTTTGACTTTGAAGGTCTAGTAAATGAGCCTATAAAAGCTCATCATTTGTCATTGTAAATATATATACAAATTTTTGGGAAAATAAAAAGAAAGAGTTTTCTCTCTAAAGCTTAGGTTTTGTTTTTGTTTATCTAAGTTAGGTGGGGTTCCTTTACTTAGTAAACATTAAATCTATGTGTTTTGTGTGAGATTCCTTGAGACTATGTTTGTGAACTCATCACAAGGACTTTCACATCCTTGAGAGGCATTCTTCGATCCACCATCATCGTTCTATCAATCCGCTGCTTGAAGATCTGTTTATCCGAAATTATATAAGTCATTGACAGCTCTGTGCTTGTATCAGATATCTTTTTTCTGGATAAAATCTATTCCAGTCACCAGCCAAATCAATTTAATGAAATTTTAATAAAAATGTATTTTATTGTATATCTATACTATTAAAAGGGAATCATGTTTTGTGTCCAAACAGAATTTACTTTGTTTTCTACTATTCTGTTTTTAGATATCTGTTATTTATATAACCAAACAAGTAAATTCAGTTAATATTAATAAAATATTATATTTTTAATTTATATTTCAATATAAATCCGAAAATTTATTTTAAATTTAAATTTAGTTTTTAATAGATTTCCTTATATATAGATTATATTATTTATCAACAATCATTAAAATAAGTTATTATTATATTTTTACAAAAATAATAAATCTAATATGAATTTAAATTTAATTTAATATTCAAATTTAAATAATATTTTTAATAAAAATGATGAAATAATATATTATTGTATATTCAACCTAATAATATTTAAAATATATAAATAATATAAACAAATGGGTTAAATTATATTTTTAAACATTCAAAATTAATAAATATTTATATTATACGATATAATATAATGAACAGACAGGTTAGGATCATGTTTTATAATTGTTGTCTTTTTGAGTTAGTTTATCCAAACATATAAAATAGTGGACTGATTCGAATATTCGAAATTAGTAAATATTTATATTATAATATGAACATATCATGTTCTTATAATCACTGTCTTTTACAGGTTAGTTTGTCAAAATATACAAAATAGTGGATTGATTCGAAGAATATTAAAAGAATTAGTTAATCCATTTTAACACTTATATATGAGTACTAATACACATAATAACCAAGTTTTACAATTGTAATTGTATAGAATTTACTTATTTTGAACTATCTCTCTTTTGTTGGAACACTAAGTTTGTTTGAGAAACTTTCTTGTTCTCACTCACTTTTGTTTCTCCTTCCTCTCTTTCTTCCGTAACTCTCTAACTCTTGCTCAGTTTCACTCATTGTTTTGGTTGGTTGTTCTAAGTGAAAACAAGAAGAGAAAGATAAACTTTAAAGACTACATTTCATATATGCGATCTAAAGATCATTGTTCAACAACACAACACATGCATACTTATATACTTGATACAACTCTAGCACTTGGACTCTAGTCTTAACCACTTCTCCTAGTCCATACCTCTAATACTAGCTAGACTAGTTGTACAAGCAACCTTACTTCAAACATCAAGAACTCTAACAACTCTTTACCACTTCTAACATCTCCTAAACCCATCTAAGTCTAACATAACTTAGTTAGCTAAAACCAAACTAATTTCTGGTTCACTCTTGGGATTTAGTAGAAAACGTAGGCCTAGGTAAATTTGCCCAAAGTCTCCTTTGACATTTGTTGACTTCAATCTTCGTCTTCTTCTTTTCTTTCTCGATGCACAACCTTTTGTATACAAAATATTTTACGTAGGCTAAACACTAACGAAAATAATCTGATTTTAATTTTGAAATTTTTTATGATTAATGTGATTTTTGTGACTTTAAATGATAGCACTGTTTGTTATCTAACAAAAATGTAAATTGTATAAAAATTATATAATACTGCCATATGGTTTATATTAGTATAATATTATAGATGAGTTAGTTAGGCTGTTGAAGATTGATCCTTGATTAAATCCTACAATATAGAAAGGAGAAATTAATGAGAAGAAAGAAGAATGAAGAACGAAGAAGAGCAAAAGGATCTCAAGAGGAAGCAACAGTGGCGGAGCCAGAATTTTTTTACATTAGGGGCATAAAAATATGATTAGGAGTGTATCTGGTTTTATGAGTGGAGACATTACTATTAGAATTTGATAAATTACACCGATTTTTAAAATTTTATTGGGGTCATTCGCCCCCGACTTGATTCAATCCTAGTTTAGTCTAGTTTGAAAATTATATTTTTAACAATTAATTAGATATAATATAAAATTAGTTTAATATCAAAATAAATTTTAAGAAAATTACCTAGCGTTATAGCTTGGATTCAATCCTAGTTTAAATATATTTAAGCAAATGAACTTTCTTTTATAAGGTATTACATACCATGCCTTAATAAATAAGAAAAGATCACTGAAATAAAATATCATATACAAACTTTCACAATTTATTAAAAATATTATGGAAACTATTTCATCTTTTGGAGATCAAGAAGATATTCACTATCTATTAGTGCAGTGATTTGCTTACATATCACATTCTCAGCAAGTTTCGGCTGTGAAATGATGTTTACACCATTATTTTTAATTCGTAGATGTGTAATTTTTTTATTGATCTCTTATTTGAAAATGTCTAAAATTCACTTAAAACATACCATTCTAAATTTTTGTGGTTTATGAAAATTTTATAAACCGAATCCGATTTTATTAGCGTGGCTTTACACATTTACCTATAAAGAGAAAACCATGAAGGCAAACTTTCGATGGTTTAAATATTTCCATATCAATAATATTAATAACAAAATACATCCCTAAATAAACAAGCAAAACCCATCGGTACAATACATAAGATAAGAAAAAAAAATCCCAATGGATGGAGAAACAACGACAAAGATCATGCAATTATGGTTAGAACACATAATGTTTTCACTACAAGAAGACACCACTTTTACGATCACAGAAAACATTG